ATGTCTATGAAATTAAAGTAATGACAAGACTTGTAAATAATGATTCTTAAACCTCTGCGTGACCTTAGGGTCACCTTATCATAGCAATATTACACACATTGATTAATATCAGGGATTTGTAACAACAATAATAATAATAAAAATAATAGTAAAATACATATTTTAAGAGGAGGCCTCCATCACTAAACACACGAACATAAATTCGAACATTAAGCACCCCTTTGTTATATGGTTTTGTAGCTTTCTTAATTCATCAAGTGCTTTAATGTTTATTATTGGTATTTCTTCATATGCTATACTTTTCCATTTTTGTTGAAAAGTATCCATATTGCCAAGAATGATGCTAGCCACCGGTGTTGTTTTCTTTCTGATTGGTCCGTAATCATCGATGCTCCTCAGAACTAGTGTGAAATCCTTAGAACATGCACCATGAAAAGGGTGTCTTTTAGGCATCTCGGTAACCACCCTTGACACGGCATGAAAGAGGTCCAGCTTAACACTGCAATTGGATGTAAAAATACCTTGGAGTTTTTTCCTCCAAGCACAACAATTGTCAATATAACAACTTCGAACGATCTGTTTCTTTTTGTCACAACGTTTCTTAATTCCTTGTAAGAGTTTCCTAACACTTTCAAATGAAGTTCCTTTAGTAAACTGCCACCCCACTACCTGTCCCTTTTCATTCATGACACAAAATAGTGAGTCATACAGGGTTTCCCATTTACTATCTGATTTCCTCTTCAAACCAATGTTACAGGCCACTTTGAGCTTGTGATCCATTGATATCCATTCATTTGGTCCAATGTCGATATCAACCATTGTAGCAGTATGGAGGTTCTCTTTGTCCATGAAATCTGCTAGGAAGACACTTTCTATAAAATCATTGCTGGGTTCCTTCCAAATCTGCTTCACGTCCTCTTCGAAATTCGAAGAGAAGAGCTTTTTGGAATTTGGAAAATGCAAATTATATGTTTTGCATCGCTCTGCGAGACTGTTCTACAGGTGTTGTCTCAATATGTTTTCAATGTCTGAAAAGGCCAAACCGGACAATATGTAAGATGATATTGTCATTTGCAGTTCTCGTGTCATTCCGGTTAAATGTGGCAATATAAATGGTTCTCTGTCTACGTCAAGTAGTTGTTTCAGAACTCCACAATCATGAGCAATTATCTCATGATTGTGCGACTGACAACGATATACCCGGCTCACTAACATAACAGGACATGTCAGGCCATACAGTCGACGAGGATTATTCCTATCGGTCTTTTCATCTTTCCACCCGACGACCCTAAGGAAGCTGTTTTTTCCTGAACATGCTTCTCTTGGGCATTTGAGGAAGCCTTTAAGAGAGGGAATTCTGGACAGCGGATCCCAAAACAATATGTCCGGAAAGAAATACGAATAAAGTATTTCAGGAGGCGCTGAACTGTCGACGGGTCTGTGGCAAGGATTAGGAGGAACTAGGTGGCAGAAAGAGATCCTTTCACGCATACCAGGAGTAGCGATCGCTTTTTGTATGCATTCCTTTAAATCATCCGTGAAAGCAGAATGTGTTGTAACGAAAAATGAGAATAGCACGGTAAACTGCCAGTAGCTCCGCATTGTACTTTAAAATGGCAAAAATCACACTTTTCCCTTGCATCCTCTATTAGCGTATTCTCTGAACATTCGTCTGTGTACAATGATCTACTTTTACTTAGGAAACGTCAAAGCATTATCAGTACTTTTACGACATCTGATAGTTTCACTTATCTAAAGTATTAGCACACGCTTTGATACAACAGAAATCGAAAACCCTTGCAGTAAAGCAATGTTTCCTTTTAGCTTGCCACAGTTTCTTTCTCTCTTGAAAAAAAGGCACCACTAGTCAATTAGCAGCTTCCCAGGTTCGCGCCAGTGTACTGATTCAGTGCCCTTTTGCATTAAGATCGTCGGGATCAAGGGCTTACTGTCATCTGGGCGGCCGCCTTTGGTTCAATAGAATCAAATCGACCACGGGGCGGGTCGGGTTGGGAGGTGGTGTGACCTCAGGCTTCTCGTCAGCAAATTTTCTTGGTACAAAAACAAAAACCATTTAAAAAAGTTCCAATAAGGAAGCTCCATCTAAGAAATCACAGCCTTCAAAGGAAATAACAAGAGTATATATGCATAAATATCTGCAAACGATCGGCTCGGGTGACTTATGCGTATTGCATTGCAGTAATTTTAGAGAAGCGTAGCTGAGAACATAGTAGAAACAAAGAAAGATAAAATCAATGAAATCAATACAAATTCAAAGAACCACAATGTATAAAGACAAAAGGTCATTGCAGTACGCTTTGTCTTTTCGTCCTAGCTTCTCCTGTAAAGCAACTAAGCTCCTAATATATTCAACAAGACTCTTGAGTTGATGAGAACACAATTCCGTTTGTAGCTCACTACCTTGAGAGATCTTCTCACTCTGAAGAGTTTGTTAGTAAATTGGTCTCGTAAGGTCTGTAATGCAACTGAACCGTTCCAAATGTACTCTCACCGTCTCTTATTGTAAGTATATGAATAAAAAGCGTGTGCACTCATGTAAGGATTTCGCGTATAGGAAATGACATAATTCAATTTTTCGACCTCCGAGTTCTATACAGCTATTAAAGACATGGCTTTACCTAGCTCAGGCAGGCAAGTAGCCATACGCTCTGCACTGCTTTAGTCCGCTGACCTATTTTTAGCATGCCTTCATATCTTTCGCGCGCGCTGAAGACACCAGAGTACGATTTTTCCGTGAAGAAAAAAAAACGAGCCCATCTTTAAAAGAGGGCGTTTCCTTTGGAGGCCGGCCGAACAAAAAGAAGGAAAACAAAGAAAAAAAGGGCACTGTACTTGGTTTTGACGTTATTCAAGACGGAATAAAATACGAAACGGTGAACAAAAGAGAATGCACGAGAAGGGCCAGAAAATGAATTTTTGGGTCGTTCCAGCAGAAAATTTCCGGAAGCAACGGAACATCTGAAAAGGTAGTCCTGTTTTTCCGGACGGAATATTCCAATCGGAAATTCGCGTTCCATTTCTTCCAAGCCTTCAGTTTGATACCAGTTTCAGCCCTTCGTGGTCGTTTTCCGGTAAATCGAACTGACTTAATTTGTACAAATGGTAAACGCGATTCCGGAACGAAACTTACAAGTCCTGAAGTTTCCCGTACCATTTGTCTAAACCGTGGACCGATCGACCGGTCTGCCCATGCAAATGGTAAACAACCAACGTGAATGCGTTCCTCTCGCCAGGGCACCGCTATTATTTGCGAGACAAAATGTATTTCTTTTTAATAAAGGTGAAAAAACTTATTATATAACCGCACAAAATAGTCTCGACTAGACTGGTCGGCGTCAAGTCTTATAGGAAGGTTCTAATTATACCGATGGGATTCATGCCAAATATTGTAGTCAAAAAACTAAAAGAAATACATTTTGTCTCGCAAATGATAGCGACGCCCTGGCTAGAGTAACTCATTCACATTGGTTGCATGTTTACAATTTGCATGGTTATATAATAAGTTTCTTTCACCTTTATTAAAAACGGCTGCATCATTTTCTCAGCCTCTATTCATAACACTCGTAATGATATGCGAAAGTAAAACGCGAAAAATAAAATACTTCCGAGGATTGAATGCACGCAGGTACGTGCACGATGGTATATATAGCAGGACTATAAATACAGGATGAAGGGAAGAAGAAGGGATCGTTCAGTCAATACCCACGCGAATTTTCGTACTCATGGCCGACGGCCCAGTTGAAGACCAATTTCCTCAACCTATAGCGGCTCCTGAAGAAGCCCAAGCTGCTCCAGGGCAAGCGGCGCCGGCTACGCAACCAGCTCAAAATGAGGCGCAGAATGCGAAGCTCGATGTTTTCGGGTTTTGGTTAGTTCATAATTTGGGAGTATGTTTCCATGGTACGTTACTGACTTCTGCATCTTTGGCTCAACCACGTCTTTTAGTCCCGCTGACTGAAAGTTTTTTCCTTTTGGACAAACAATAATCTTATAACAAAACCTTAGCTTCCAGAAGGTTCAATCTCGATTCGTTATTCGGAAATAAGTATTCTTGCCAGTCTTCGCTCTTCGAGTGAAACGCTGAGAGAACATTCTCCGGCCCGAGAGCGGGAAAAAACATTGAAATAGTTGATTGACTTCCGTGACTAAAACTCCGGTTTCGACTAAGAGGAAGAATCTTTAGAAGGCACCGACTCCTTGTTATTGGCAACTGGTTTAATCAAGGTGTATCGTCCTTGTTTTGCCCGTTCATATTGAGTTATTATTTCTGCTATTTGGCTTCCTTTTAATAACGAATGCCTTCATTATTAATAGATCTCCGAATGGGCATGTTTTTAACGTACCCAATAAGAAAAAAATTAGTTATGAACCCCGTTCCTGATTATATCCCCTTTTTATTTTTTCCATTATTTTCAGTTGATGATTGCGCAATTATACAACGCATTTTACTGGAGCATCTTCCCGCAGCATTTTAACTTTCCAAATCAGGAACTACAAGTTGTTAGGGTTTTCTGGTTGCACTATTTATATAATAGGCTGGTTGTGCTTAGGTCTGAATACTCTGAATACTGACCAATTCATGTAAAGGTAAGGTAAAGGTGCATACGAGCCAAAGGCGCAAAGGCCCATCCCGGTTAAATTAGCATGCAGCATGCCTGGGAATATTTTTACTCCCCCCTCAGGACGGGATGCTAGTCCATCACAGGGTTACTCCTCAGCAGTGCGTCGCCGGTACCCATTTATACACCTGGGTGAAAAGAGACAAAGTGGAGTAAAGTTCCTTGCCTAAGGAAACAACGCGACGGGCGAGGCTTGAACCCCGGACCTCCAGATCCGGAGTTCGAGGTGTTAACCGCTCGGCCACACACAACTCCGCAGTTCGTGTAGAACAAACTAAAGTTCAATACCGCTCAAACTATTTTGGAAACTATGAAGAGTCTTTTTTTTCTGAAGATTGAAGTTTTACAGCATAATCAGTTTCAGCAAAGTGCTCTTCTCAAAGTTTCGCGGTACCTGGGTATTCTCCAAGCGAACACAAATGGATCTAGAAGAAATTTCAAGTAAAGCGTGTTTTCGGCGATAACGCGAATTTGAAATAGCGTCTGGTTATACTTTATACTCTCGCCGCTATACAAATACAAGTGCCACAAGAGGGCCGATGGTTGAGAACACACCAACAGAACTATGATGATGATCAGATTAAGACGAACACATTGCCTCTGAACTTTTAAGCGTTGTTTCTGTTGTTTCTCGTTTTGTGAACTTGATTCTGATTTTCTCTCTTGCGGCTCTACTCTCACTTCAGTCAATTCAGTACCCGTGGTCAGCGTTGCTGAGATCCCAACCATCTGTCTTCGAAAAGCCTTTTGAAGCAGCATATAAATGATGATCGTTAACAGCAGCGAAAATGTAGAGTGGAGATGCAAATCGATCTTTTCTAAAACATCCAGAGGAACGCCCATGTACCTTGTCATCTCAAACAATATAGCGTATAGCGAGGTAATTACCAAGAGCGCTCGGGTCTTACGAGTAGTGACTAACTCCTTGCTTCTAAGTGGGTGGGCAACTACGATGTACTGCACCAAACTGAACGCCAAGACGATGAAAAAAGATAAGTTGGTGAGGATTGCACCTACTATGCCTGCGATTTCAAAAATCTTGTTGCAGTGAATCTGTTTGTGGTGACCTCTGTACAAAACAAAATAACAGGTACTAACCATTGGCACGGGGACAAGTCCCGAGATGAGGTCTACGATCGACAAAGCGATGAGAAAGCAAGCGGTTGGACCATGGAACGTCTTAAGAGGATCCTTATATATTGCTAGCAGGAGAAAGGAGTTTGCTAACACAGTTATTGGGCAGAGCACCGATAGGAATATTCCAGATAATAAAAACAATGTCTCAACATTCATCGTGTTGGTTGACTAAAAGTTTTGGTATTCGTGTTGATTTTGGTGATTCAAAAAAAGTGTGTTAAGTGTGTTATTTGAAAACTGCAGTCACGTGACACCGAAAACCCCCGCAATAATTTCCATTTCCAAATGAAAAATAATAATTACAAAAATTAAACTAAATAAGGCTACAATCAACGTCAGTTAACTTTTTATCTTTCCGACATTTTTGGCGGTTATTAAACCCACATCTCGGTCACTTGCGAATGAAGTCCATCTTAAAGACAAACGGAAAAGGCGGACGCAAGGCCCATTTCCCCTTCCTGCCTTTTAACCCCCCCTACTTCTTTAAATTAAACGATTATTAACCGTTTCTTTTGACGTTAAACTAGCCGCCCTGGGAGATGACGTCCCAATAGTGATTGCTACTGAGCCACAAACTGAAAGGTAGAGGAGCAGGTTCTAAGTTTCTTTGTTGGGTTGTGTTCCACGCCTCTCTCGAGGTCAGGGGTTTGGGGCTTGGTCCGTGCGTGTATCACCTGAGTAGTCTCAAAGAGTACACTTGACGAAAACTCACACTAACTAGGTGGGAATATAGCTGATCATTTGAGGTTTCTGGGTAACTGACCACTTACCCCTCCCATAAGTGACAATCTTGCTCTAAGAGAGAAGTAAGTGCTAATGTTAACTTAGGGGAGGGGTAGGTGGTCAGTTACCCAGAAACCTCAAATGATCGGGAGTAGCTGGGCTAAACTAAGACACCACCTGTGGACACTTTTAACCTGAAGCTTGCATCGCCAGACAAACTGTACTGGGGGTGGGTACAAAGCTGACGGCCGGGTACACAGAGACGCCACTAGGCTTTTCCTACAGGTGTGGGTTCGTCGGTGTACAATAGTTTTTACCAACCCCCCTTCCCCTATAATTTTGAGAAGCAGCTTGCTCGACCCAATTATTAAAGACAATTTTGATGCAAACTAGGATGGCGTGTTTTGTTATAAATGCCGCTGAATCACCTTAATAAGAAAATTTCGCTGCTCGTTTATTCCTTATTCATTTTCGGTGTATTTAGTGTTTTGACAGATGTCTAAGGTTGGTTATTTCCTTTACATGTGATTTAGCATTTCTTGAATAAGGGTAAACAGACTTAATTTGCAAACTCATCGACACTCGCTGAAAAACACGACAGCTTTATAATATAAACTTTAACAAAAATAACATTCTAAGTTGCTGTTCATTGTTATTATCCTTCTGGTTCCATTTAGGCCTTTCCCGATTGTGCTCATGAAATGCTGGCTTTTTATGAGGACAAAAATAGAAAATAAAGAAAATAAATTTTAAAAAATGATTAAAAATAAAATTTTAAAAATTTTAAAAATTGAAGTTTTCTATGAAATCGTTGACTTTTTCTGGCTTGATATGTGCTCTAAACCTATATTTTGCTCAAAAGTTGCACAGAAACGCAAAATTTGCTCGGGGTTGCTAGAACCGCACAAAGTTGCTCCAAACGCCAAAAGTTGCTCAAAAGCTGCCGAGGACAATCGGGAAAGGCCTAGTTTCATTTACTCTGCATGTGCTTATAGAGGTCCAAAGTTCTTCGATAATGGACTTGTCACTTGATATTCGCGAGTCTTCTTTTTTTGTTTTGTTTTATTTTTTTGGACACTTTCTTAACAGTCTTGAAATTAAAAACGCGGGGAATAAACTGTCGCGAAAATTTAAGGTAATGTTTTACTTAATTGAAAGCCGACAAAAAGGAGGTAATTAAAAGTAAAACCTACGCTGCGTTAATTTCTACTACGGCAAAATAAAAGCGACAGAAAAAAAATTTGTTTTGAGCACAGGTGGAACTTCGTGCTTCTTTTATTTTTCTCGACAGGTCCGACTTTCTTCCTTTCTCGCTACACCGGGCCAAAACTTTTCGAAAACTCCCTTGAAATCGAAAGTAAGAACAATTTAAAAACTCTTTCTCTGCGTTCTAGTACATAGGCGGCGGAGTAGGGGGGAAGAGGGATCCGTAGCCTGCCCCCCAGTTTTGGTGCCTAAAAACAGTTTTACCGATGTATTTGACAATACCTGTGACATCAGCGACTTCAGAGCGCACATTTTCTGCCCTCAATAACTACCTAAGAAGCACAATGAAGCAGGACCACCTGAACAACTATAGACTACGAGTAGTCCCATCTCGGCTTTCTCGCGTGCGGTGATTTTCACTCGAACTCGCGTTTCGCTCGCTCTACTATTCCTGAGGAAAAATGGGAACTAGAACAACTACTGACTGATGCCGGGATTGTGACAAATCGATTACGGACACACTAGACACTACGAAGGTTGCTTGTGCCAAGGGCATTTTGGAAAATTTGAGTAGGGGTATGCGTATGGCTGAGTGGAAGATGAGCCCCCCCCCTCCACGTTTCAAAACGCTCCGTCGCCTCTGTAGTGTTAACGGAAAACAATTTGAAAACGGCACATTTCAGAGCGGATATTTATTTGTCTTATTTCAGCCGTTTTTGACCAAAAAAGCGTTTTCAAATTTATCAGGACTTGTTTGAGCGGTAAATATTTCTTGCGTTGTCCACTTATTCAAATTTCTCCGTTCACCTAACTGACGGCAATTTCAACCAGCTTGCTGGTTCCAACGGAAGCAGTAAGTTTTGTCTCCTTGACCCCCTCAAAGTTTCCCTGAGGCGAAAAAAAAGATATTTAAACCAAGTTATGAATTTGTTTACCGGCCATGTTTGTTTGTTTGGCGCGACTGGCACATAAATTTCCTCCTTGAAGGATTGTGGTCGTCGCCTTTTTTACATTTTATAGTTTTTACGTGAAAGTCGCAACCGATTAATAGAGGCGGATAATAGCCGATCCGTGCCGGTTGTGTGCCTTGCAGAAAATCCTTGATAAGCTCCCCTTTTCTTCCCACCCCAAACATGTAGCCCCCGAGGCAAATAATTTTTATAATCAGCGCTTGATCTTTGTCACATTCTAACGTCGGGGGAACATTTGTTTTAAAGGTCTTCATTTCTACTTCCTCTCCCAAATTGCTCAGTAGGTTGGCATCAGCTTCTTAGGGTAATTCATAATTTGTAGCCATGGTAGATCAGGGCCCAGTTGCGCGAAGCATGGTTAGCGTTAACCAGCGTTTAATACCTTGACAACGTATTGGTTTTGATACTGCTTAACCAATGGTTAAAGCTAACCATGCTTTGAGCAACTCAGTCCAGGTAGATATGATAGATAAAAGCAGAACATCTTTATATTTCGGTCGATTTCCGCATAGGTTCATGTACTTCAGGCCTTGAGCGATTTGAATCCGTCCACGAGGAAGCTACAACTTTAACCTCGTGTTCACAAGTTTAAGGCGCATACCAATATACCTCTGTGTTGAAATTGTCCTTTCGATGTCCTTGTGGATTACGCGTAGCGTGAGGCAGAAACAAGTTATTGTGGGTACTGCGATATGCAAATGTTCACTCCGATGTGGACGCCGTTGGTAGTTAGTCGGCTTTGCACGAAAGCGCCCGATATCAAAACGACAACTGTCAGGCCCAGCTTCCAGTGAGCAATATTTGAAATAATCGCCTCCCTCGAATATTCGCCCTCTTTTTGTGCGAAAAAAGAAATAATCGCCCCCGGTTATTTATATTCGAGGAAATAGAGTAATTTCAGTTTTCATTTGTAAGTGATTAATCCACAAGTTAGCCATAGGAACCCTTTGATTCGATTGACGACTTCCTCCGGTCCGCTAGAGAAGATCAGACAAAGGTAAAACGTCTACGCTTACATACTTATACAACTTTATTTAAACTCGAATTTAGAATAGCTCGAGAGAGCTAGTATCTCCGCTTGAGGTTTAAACACGCGTGACTACTGCCAGCCTCGTCTATTGCCTCGTCTAAGGACAGCTCTGCTGCGCATGACCACCAGTGACTCTTTGGCGGAATCAGATGATGGGGTTCAGGAGCTGAAGGCGTGGGTTGTTGGGTTTTTACTGTGTCAATTAAAATGACTTTTTCCATGGATTTTACTAACAAACTACAATATATTTTAAAAGTTAATAAACTTCAGGCTTAATAAATAAGTTAATAAGCTTTAGTGGCGTGAGGTAGTTTTTATAGTATTTCTCCGACTTAACGAAGCTTATTGACAGTAAGTCAATTTATCTATCTTTTAAATGTTCAGTTAAATCTTTTATACAAATGATATAGGCAATAATACTTATTTGTTGACATATCTAGATTCCAAATTTATTAGCCATATAATATTATATGTTCATGTCAGCCATCACTTATTTTGTAACTTGCAGATGTATATTTTTAAACTCGGGATCTTCTCAGCAAAGCCCAGTAAGGCTTGCTAAGATCTCCTTCCATAAATGTATCCTTTCCCTAATTAAGCATTTGCTTGTATTGTATGGTGAATGGCGAAATATTAAATACATTTATAATCCACTGATTAATTTTCGCGCGATTTTATTAGCTATTTTGGGTCACGTGGTACCAAATCGGAGGGTGGGTATCAGAACCACCGCGGTCAAACGTCTAAATCGTTATTTTTGTTTTTTATTGCTGGGATTTCATTTACCAGTAAGAGAAAAATGGGCAAAGATGTATAAATCAGTTAGTCAACATAACTATCTTTCCATTTTTCTCAAAATTTTGAGCTTTTTTCGCTGAAAACGCTTCGCACTAAAATAGAATCATGTTTGAAAATGGCGCCGATAACAACGTCAGCATCGGTTTTCAATCACTTAGAACTTTTTTAGTAAACTTTTAAAAGTTTAGTAAACTAACAGGATGTTGGTAATACCCTAAACTTTCGATAGTGAAAGTAGCAAACTTAACTTTGAAGTATTTCGCTTAACTTTTGCAAATTTAACTCGTTTGACCGCTGTGAAGGTATCAGACAATACACTCCGTCCGCGTCGATATTTGCCCTACGATTTTTCAGTGGCAAGTAAGCATGACAAAGTCAACAAAGTGAATCTATCGATTATCAGGCGATTTATAAGATCCACTCGAAAA